GGCCACACCCCAAACCCCGAGCACTCTGCCCAACCGAGTGCTGAGGCCAAGGCTTCAACGCGATTAGAGTCTTGCCGCTCCAAGACCAAACATCGCCATGACCACTAACGCTCCACACACGCTCAGAGGGAGCGGTGCCACTGACTGCAAGACGGCACTACTCGTGAGCATTCCCGCGAAAAAGACTACCGAATGTAGTCCGGCTAAGACCGGCATGGGCCCTTGGACTATTATGCTGGCCACGCTGACAGTACTTTCCGTGATTATGTTAGTATTGTCTTCTTCCGAAACTCAAAACCCTGTGATTCACGCCATGACACGCATTAAACGCAGCCTTGCTTCCGACGACACTGCTTGGTTGGAGGCCTTGAGTAAATCCTACAAACACTCTACAGTTTATTCACTCAACCTTTGGTATCAGTATGCAAAATACGTCGCAGATAGCCACAATAGATCCAATTGCTACGTATGCACGATCATTGGGTCGTCCTGCTGTACATATATTCCGGCTAATGATGAGGACGGAGGTCTTATCCAACAGGGCATAGCCAATCTGACTAGACTCCGGGACGCCATGCAAGCGGACAATGTCACGGACACTCCTCACGGTCTGGACTGGCTCCTGTCCTTTTTGTTTACCTTGTTTTTATTTTTCCACTTGTTCCGCCTACAATTTAGGGGGAGGGTATCACAGTGAAGAGCTTTGACCACACCCTCGTAATACAAGAGGCTTGGGTGACGGCAGCGTAGCCTGTCCATCAACAACTCTTGTTTTGCTCAGGGACCAAGGTCAAAACTCACCCACCTGAATGTGATTTCTGTAAAACTGGGGTTTCTACATTATCACGGGAGAGGAGTGTTATGGCAAGTTGGTTAGCCTCAAGGACGCCAACTCACCCCCCGCTGTTCTATTCATTTAACCTGCAGGAAGGAACCGGTCTCCCCCCTGCACCGACAGACATGACGCAAATTACTATCTCACCTTTGCCCCTTTTGCATTTTGCATCTCTATCGGTCCGTATGTCTGCATCTCTATGTCCCTTTTACATTCTGCATGTCTATTGTCCCTTCTGTTTGCATCTCCATGGCACAAAGATTGTCTCTCACCAGGCAAGGCGCCCCGCCATCTGGATGCCCGTCTCAAACTGTGACCCCTCCCACCTTTTGTGGGCGTGACTGTCTTTCATGTGTTGCCTATGTAAACGGGGACCTGGGACTGGCCCCGGCAGAACTGATGTACGCTATTTTGTGTATGTGAGTTCTCCGCACGTGTGTTATAATAAACTTACGCTCCTGATTAAGACAAATACCTTTCCAGCTTTTTCCTTACTGTGGATAGAAACTCCCACGACAGTGTCTGGTGGTCCATCTTCCCCAGGGCAGCTATGGCTACAATGGAAGTTCATAACCACTGTGTATGGAGTGAAATAATAATGCCATGTGAAGCTTCTGTCAGTGTCCAAAAAAGAGATGTATAAAACCGATGCATTCTTATTTTTCGTATCATACAAGATAATTCCTTTTTTTCTTTTTTTTTCTCGGTATAGACACCCATAATAAGTTCACGTTACCTGCAGTGGCTCAACAGTGCAATACAAGTAAACCAGAAAGTATCTAGACATTCAATCTGACAACTAAGCTTTGATGTAGGAATAGTTGTATGAATGCAGAACCCCGATAACTAATATTCAATTTGATTACAACAAGTCTATAAGAATATGCAAATTAAAGGGGTCCACAAACTGCGTGTTACCATGGAGATGTCATTTCTTAGCTTGGAATGTACCACAGTGTAGTGCCAGTATACTATTTTATTTACTGCTTTAAAGCCAGAACTTGTACACTAGCCCCTAACTCTCAAAATGTTTGATTCTATCACTACTTTTCTCCTGCATATATTTTTTTTACCTCTGTCGGATGTTCTTTTTCAGAAGGAAAGCAGTACCAAACCTCACTCAGCTCTCAGTATGTAAAAGATAAAATGCTATCTAATAAGATAAAGACAGGATGTTCTGGTCTGATAGTTTGCAAAATGTTACAAGTTGGAACAAACAGTTGGAACAAACAGCATGTATTTACGAAACAAAGTAAGACAGCCAAACAATAGTAAAAAAACAAAACAGAGAGTCGCCATTGTGAGGTATGTGTAAAATTGACAAAGTTGATTTACGTAAGATGACTGCTGTCGTTGTGTCCTTGGGCAAGACACTTAACCCCACTTTGCCCAAAGCCCCCACTGAAAGATCAAGGCTATGCTCACACTCAGAGAGCAGCCGTCCTCCTGTGGACTCACCACCTGCAGAGGGTCAGTGAGGGGCTGGTGCTATGAGACTTGGGTGGCATCTCTGATTGCCACCCCCCTGACCCAGAAATGGATTAAAGGGTAGCAAATGGATGAAAATGCAAATGGATGGATTTACGTAAGAGCCGTGTTCTAAGACGAAACATCTTTGCTGCTCCAGCTAACGGATGATTAATTACCCAAGTTAATTCAGATCTGATGAATTATGTCTTTTAATATCATCGTTGGCAAAGGTTTGAAGTATCAAGATGGATTTTTCATCAAATACCAGGCATTTGGAGAAGTGCCTCTGCAGCACTGGGCACTGGGACAGAGCCTTTGCAGAAAAGCCTCTTCTTCCTTTAAATGTGTGTGTTACAAAACAATTCCAGATTAACTCATTTATCTTGTCATGGATGGCTGTATTTTGGAGTCAGCACATTCTCTGCCTAAATTACCTCTCTGGGGAATTACCCTAAGTATTGTGCACTTTTAAATAATACTCTCTTGGAAATTTATAGCCAGGGGTGGGGTGTGGGGAGGATGTATGGCAAAGTGAAATAATGAAGGGCATGAGTGGGTATAGCAAGGCACAGATGTGTTTTTTGAGCTTGGCATTTCATAATACTACAAATGTATTTCACAGTTTACAACAAAGAGCAAGTTAAATGCTTATTTTGTAGTACAGCAACAAAGAATTATATCATGGCATAACTTTACAATTCTGTTCTGACCACAACGGCCCAGATTCATGCAATAGGTAGCAAAAGTACTAGTCGTAGGTACTTCAGTAAAAGTCCTAACAATAGATTTTGCATGCTCCTTCTCTCCTGTACGGTGACCCAAAAACAATTCCCACAACAACGGTAACTTTTTCGTAGTTTTGTTTAGAAAACGCACTATATCATAAAAGCATGGTTTTTATACACGTTTTTGGGAATAACAAATCCTGCAGTTGTATATTCAAAGATGTCTCAACATGACACCATTATGTATTTGTTTTAACATTGTGAAAATGATCTATAAATACAATGTTAATTTTTTTTTCATATCTACTTCAAACGTGTTTTTATTTCATTTTGAAATGTAAAAAGTAGAAAGAACAGTAAGGAGTAAAGGTAAAAAGTTGTCAGAAAAATATATAGGGATGTAAAGTGCATACTGTATGTCTGTCTATGAATCGAAAAGGCTGGGAAATATGGGGTAATCTTCAAATCAGGATACGATAAAAAGTCTATCAAGTTTTCCCAATAGTGACAACCACAGACATTGAGATCCATGAACTGGTCTTGCTCTTGAGACTCTCAAAACAAACACACAGTCAAATTACATTTTCAAGACGCCCTGAAGATTTTACGCATACACATGAGACAAATAAGCAGTTGTGATGTTGAGAAGTTTTGTAGAAATTCGTTTCAAATCAAATTATTTTTGTATGAAGCCCTAATTCACAACAGCAGTCGTCTCGGAAAATAATGTAATTTCGACGACAACAGATTCAGAACAGAACAACAACAGAATCAAACAATTAGAACAGAGAAAATGCAATAATAAAACAAACACATTCCCGCTCAGAGGAGTAACCGTAGCAACAGGCTCCTTGCACAACACTGCAAAACCATAGACTGTAAATATTAATGGACGTAGTCACGCCGTTCTAACTAATGTGGCACTACTTCAGCGGTCTATGGGCAGTTTCAAAATGGCCGTGGGGGCTGGAAAATGGGAAAAAACGCATCTGCGCATGCGTTAGCCAAGTGCCTTCGAAAATTCACAGCAACACTGGTCCAAAGAAATTCACTCCCCTCAGCATTGACACACATGTGGAACGGAGCTTTGGGCCAAGAGCCAACTTTGGACCATCCTGTAAAGACGTTTTCAAGAGATAAGAAGATGCTATATGTTAGCATTGGCTAATTCTTGGTTTTGCAAGCAAGCGCACGTCATTTCGGCCACGTTTGAGCCGGGACCCGCCCCCACTGTGCAAAACGCAACTTTTTGATAGGTCTTTTGTTCCTTCAGACCTACGACTCTACAACAGATCTGTCTCAGCTATACAGCTGAAATGTATTACTTTTGTTAGTAACTTTTACAATGTTGTATTTATTGTCATTTGTATTGTATGGAATGTAATGTTTCCTGAATTTCTCTGACACTATATCATCAAAGTATATATAAATAATAAATATAACATCGGAGCCATTGGTCCATAGGGCAGCGCAGATCTGGGCAAAGCACGGCCCAGGGTCCACATGCGGCCCGATTCACTTTTCTATGTGGCCCTCAGACCTTTTCCCAACATTATCCGTCCACAAAACTTAGCCTTCTTTAGCTTTGAGATAGGTAAATAACAAAAAATGTGAATCCATACTTGATACAATAAAATCAAATTATCTCCCATGTTGTAAAAGGTTAATAAAAATATAGTCGCTGAGATAACACCTAATACACAAACCCAAAAAGAACATTGGCTATCTTCAGGTTGGATATATAATCACTTACATTTAATAAAAAGTAATTTGGGCTTCCACAAGATACTGATTTTCCAATGTTGCCCCTTTGAAGAAAATAATTGCCCGCCCCTGAGGTCTCGGGATGACTAATGTCTGTAAATGTCCGTACATGTCCTGGATCATCACTGTCCTTAGACCCTGCTGCAGCTTAGCACTTCAAGGACATGACACTTTTCACCCGACTCCACAGCCACAAGAGTGCGACATCAATGAGGAGATGGCGTCCTACCTGCAGTGGGGAGGCACAGCTCCTCGTCGCTGTTGTCCTGGCAGTTGTCCTGGCCGTTACATAAGAAGCTGCGGTCCACACAGCGACCGTTACGGCATTTGAAGCGGGATTCTGTGCACACCAGCGGGTTGGCTGCTGCGGGGACAAAACACAAAGACAGTTCGTCCAATAAGTCTTTAACGTTCATTATCAAAGCTGTGTTCTGGTAAAAGATAAAAACATAAAACATAATCACTGTCATTGTCTGTGGTTAACACACACCAAAAAAACAGAAAGAGTATGATGCTTTTTTTAAACTTTACATGTTCAGTCGTACCAGTAATTGTCTGATTCTCAGGTAGTTTAACACTGCATTAGTTGCTCTGTTTTATTTACTTTATTGTTTTTTTTTTATTTTTATATTGGATAACTGGCATTTAATTGGTTTACCTATTTTACTTTTGATACATATAATGCTAACTTGTTTTATAAAATGTGTTATATAAATAAGGGGATTGGACTGGATTGAAGTATGTTGTTAATTTTCTATTATTGATTATTAACTCCAACAGCATTGATTGCTTTAATTATTGTGTGCTTTTTATTGTCCCATTTGAGTGTTAAACTACTTTTAACACACGGCACGGTGGCAGAGTGGATAGCACTCTCGCCTCTCAGCAAGAAGGTCCTGGGTTCGAATCCCTGTTGGACCAGGGATTTCTGAGTGGAGTTTGCATGTTCTCCCCGTGTCTGTGTAGGTTTCCTCCGGGTGCTCCGGTTTCCCCTACCACTAAAAATATGTACAATAGGTCTGGCATGTGCCTACTGTACTGGCCCCCCACTCCCAAAAGTAACAATTGTAAACCGCTTTGAGACTCCGATGTGCAGTGAAAAGGCGGTATATAAATAAAGATTTATTACTACTACTACTACTACTACTTATTAAAAAATGCAATCATTCTCTCTCTCCAATGTAACTCTTTCGATGCCGAAGAAGCAGTCAGGTCACAAATGTTTCCATGCATTTTTTTTTACCTTAAGTTAGGTAATAGTGTAATAGTCTAGGGAAATGTGTCTCATTTGAAACGTCCTACAATGCCCCTCAGGCCTCTGTCAGGACCCATCTCCAGTGCGGCTTGGGCTGGTCAACTGGATTTTACTTATGCAACTGTGTCTGTATAAGGAAAACCTTATACAGACACGTGCAGAATGTGATAACTCCACAGAGAATACTTTTCATTTTTTTTCTCCTGTTATTGATTTTATAGGTCTTCTATCTCTTAACAAGTATTTGAGCGTCACAGTTTGTCTGCATTTCTGACAAAAACTCAAAATATCAATGAATTCTGTTTCAAAGCAGGTTTTTACACATGTTTTTGGGGATAAAAAATCTTGCAGTTGTGGACTTAAAGAGGTTTCGACATAACATCATATTATATTTGTTAAAACATTGTGAAAATGATCTAAAAATATACTATGAAAAAATATACAGTGTTATGAACATGCAGTAAAAACTTCTTCTAGATTTGTGAGCAGCCCTCTGCAGGGGAGGGCCGAGCGTTTGACAGAAAAGTGATTGGCCCAGAGTTACGAGCTGAACAAGGACAAGGTGACACCAGGACAAGCTAACAAACATTAGGAACTATAAGCCTAAAATCAGTCCATTCTCCAGACTGAAGTGGTGTGATCTTAACTCGGCTGCAAGAGAATTAACGTCACACACAGAACAAATAACTGTTAAGGACCACGACCTCACCTGACACCATAACTGTTTTTGTTTAGAATAACTAATAAGCTCTGCCTATGTAACAGATTTTCCCTTCAAATTATTTAATTTACCACAATCTCACCCACAGCATTATTTTACTTTATATCAATACATGATTTTCTGTAATTTCAGCCATAATAGTCTTTACCATGTCATGCAACGACAGATCCATCACATTTGAACATTGCATCACATTGTGTAGTGTAGGATGTTACATTTAAAACTGAAGTAACCATGCACCAGCTTTATATAACGCTTTTTTGGACAGCAGCCACAGCTTCCCTGTCATTCATTTCACACACGCCTAACTCATACGGCTGAAGTGTCTTGCCTAAGGACAACGTCTGGCCCTTTAGAGCCACAGTAAATGTAAATAAAACCGGTTGTAGTTCTCAGAAAGCAAAGGGTAAGGAGTGCTGCGTGGTACAAGCATGTGAAATTATTTAAAAGACCAGCTGCTCTATTGGAAGAGGGGTTTAACTTAGTAACACAAAATTTAGTTTTGACTTTCCAGGTAAAAGGCACATGGTGAAGATCTTCGAAAATCAAAAAATCCAAGGCACTCGTGGTCAATAGTTTAGAAAGTTTAAAAAGCCTTTATTAAAACCGGTTTTAGCTTTGTAGCTAACTTCCATCTGTTGTCCCACAGTTAGACTTACAAACACACATCCTTCACCTTTTGTACACATTTTTAGTGGGAGGGGAAACCAGAGCACCCAGAGGAAACAGACCTTGGAGCGCAAGAAAACTCCACACAGAAAGGCCCTGTCTGGTGCTAACCACTGTGCCACGGTGCCACAGCGTATATTTAAACAACATTGGGACAATATGTTTTCCTTGAACATCAAACACTTGTTCCACAGGAGGCCGTGGGTATGAGCTGAATGGCTGCAGTGTAAACCATTTCCCAGTGGGACAGTGCAGATCAGCCCCTGGCATCTGGTGACCCCCCTCCCACAGGACGTCCTGACTTACTGCAGTTCTCCTCGTCGCTGCCGTCCGGACAGTCCGTGAAGCCGTTACAGCGGAAACGTCCGATGATGCAGTGTCCGCCCGTGGAGCAGGCGAAGAAAGTGGGGGCGCATTTGGACTTGACCTTGGCTGTGGAGAGACAAGTGAGAAAGAAAGTATCATAAGTTAGACCAGAGATGACGCCAGCAGATTTTTATTGTTGTTTTTTATGATAGAATTATCCTTGAGAAGCATCAAAAGGGAAGGCTTTGTCAATAAGGACATCCGTGTTTTGAGTCTATATCAGCAGATTGACGTAGTTATAGATAGAATGTTTAAGTTGCGTTTAAATGATCTTTCCAGATGGATGTAAAAAATGGCCGACAACTTGACAGCAAAACATGATAATACAACAGAGCTCTGTGTTATGGCCACACCAAAAATGACTATGATTGCAAAAACCATCAACAAAATACAGAATTATGAGAGTAATATTTATTGTTAATTGCAGTTATGCACCTTAAAATGTGGATGAAAGAAAGCTAAGTCTGTTTTAACAGTCCGTCACTATCATGTGGAGTTACCTTTGAAATAATGAATAATTGTATTCTATTTACTTCTATTCTATTTACTTTAGATCAGTGAACAAAAGCTCTATACTAAAATAAAATAAATAACTTTCGCGTAATAAAGAAGCAAGAATTCTGTAAAAAAAATCTCTGACTTTTACATAAATAAGCACGTACAGCACATTGATAAGCCAAGAACAATAACATCAACGATAACACAATTTGTGATGAGTAAGCATCTTGCAGCCCTAGTTTTATCTCTTTGTTTTCGGTACAATGCACCCAGTATCAAAAGAACAGACTGCACTCTTCACCCAGTGGTCTTGTTCTTGTCCAAACAGTGAAATCACCGACATAACCTGCAAAACATTTAATTATTCAGCCCCTGATGTTCTCCTGGCCTTATCTCAACGACTACATGAAACAACTCAGATCCCAGACTCCCAGCTGCTGATAGCGAAACAATACAGGCTAATGACAAAGACAAAGAAGTGTGCATTTGTATGGATGGAGCAATTGATCAGACCGAAGCCGGGGTTGCCTGGGCTTATCGCACAGGACAAGCCCCAGAAGGAGCGACGAAGGCTGTCAAGTGCAAAAAACCCCGGCCTCTTTCTGTTCAAAGTAAGCCCTGGTTAAAACTCGCCTGCATTGATCTTCTCTGGCCTGCGCAGGGAGACAAGATTACAGGTACATGCAAGGAGAGGGGGGAAAATGCATGTCCCAGGTTTGCCTCTGGCCTGTGAAGTTAGTTGAAAAGCCTGACGCAGACACATTCCAAAAAGTCCTTGCCGAAGCTGTCTATTTCGCCGTCGTAATTATGAGGTAATAAAGTTCAAGATGAATAGTGCGCACTGTAATTAGCAATTAACTGTGAAAATCTGCATCAATACTATCAAGAGATTAAGTAAATAGACTGTACAGATAGATATTTTATTCCAAGGCTAACCACATTTCTTGGTCCATGGTCCAAATCAAAGCTCATTAGACAAAAATACAAATGACGGACCAGCAACACAATACAAATGTGAGCGACGGGAGTATCCACAGCACGTCTGCACCGCGGACTGTGAGACTGTCAGAAATGAAGCTACCGATCATCCACTCCAAAACAACTCTCATGCCAAGTCACAACACACTCGAGCGAGAAAAACATCATGGCACTTACAACGAACACTCACACATCTTTCAAAGGGTGTGCGTTGGTACAGAATGCTAAATGCCTTCGGAATGGAGACGGACACTTCTCATGGGCCCTTGAAATCCTCAAGAGTTGACGATATTGTATAATTAGACTTGAGATTAATTCATATTGTAATGTGCAAAGTCTTGTTCTACTTGCACTGTATTTGATTATGTCTCAGATGTGTACCTTGCTCAGTCTGTCCAGATGGTGGCAGTAAGCTCCTAAAGCCACAGCTGCCCCCGGGACGTGCAGAGAGCCCTGGAGCGGCAGGTGCTCGAAGTTTTCGAAAGTCACATGGAGCATGAAACACTTTTCAAAGAGAAATTTCACACAGTTTACAGTAGATATTGCCACAGATGCAATCCATTCATAGCCTGCCTTTTATTATTTCTAATATTAAAAAAGATCAAATAAAAATGAAAGTATAAAGCAAATGTGGATTTAATGTAATGGTGCTGTTATTCATATTATTTTTCATTGTTGTGTAAATTATGAGAAAAATCGGGATTAGGATTAGGTTCTAGGAAAGTGGAAGATTTCAGCATTTGTATTAGAATGCATTCAAATATACAGTGCGTTAGAATGAATGATTCTCACAATAGTAATGCTATAGTGTATTATTGTGTGTTGTTACAGTATGGGGAAAGTGTCTTGCCTATAAAACAGACAAGTTGAGCATCGCCCTCTTTACCGCATGCAAACATTCTCGTCGTAAGTTTTTAACAGTATCATCGCCAATAGTTACAAATGTCTGAATGTGTCACTTTAATATTTTTCACAATAAGTATGAGCTGTTCCCATAACTCATACTACAGATTGTTTTATGTTGACAAGGACACAAAAAGAGGGTTTTGGTGATCAGAGGAGCCTATGATTGTGCTGCAGCTGAGCAGGATTTTAGGCCTGTTGAATAAAAACTGCAACTTCATACGGTTCCCCAACAACATGTGAGTGAGACGCCCTGAGCTATACTGATCGAAGCAAGAATGCTAATTATTAACCTCCATTCACACACTCACACACACTGCAGTTATACTAGATAGATCCAAAGGACACAACAACAGTTCATGCACAACCGTATAGAGACATAGCCACAAAATGAACGGCTTTAAGGTGATAGACAAAACATAAGTGAAAACAAATAGCAGTAAGTCACTCAAACTAATGAGTATGCAAGATGTCTCCAAACAATCTTCCAAACAAAGACGGGACTGGCGTGGTGCCACCACAAATGCCAGGGGCGCGCTTTGACTTTTTCTACAATACATTGTGGTAGGCTGATTTATGAGCTCTTTCAAGCCACAGTGATTATGTGTTGGAAGTGGGGAGCGCTCGGCATAACAAAACCATGATGCAAGATGCAATGTAATCCTGGAGGAAGCTGGGGTAGTTTCTGATCGGCGCTGTCTGCAGCCAACGAGAACTATTGTTTACCTGGACAATCAGAGGCTTCTGAATGTCCAAAGCTCATTCTGCATGGGGCATTGCATTCATTACAGTCTAGGGAGCGCAGCTCAAAGCCTCAGCAGCGCTTCAAAGGAAGATTGTGTGGGGTAAAATGAATCCACACAAAGGCATTTCATGATGCAAAGCTTGGAATCGGCTGACTGTTGCAATGTTGCAGAGAGTTGGTGTTCTGCTTTTCTTCACAGCATGAAATCCTCCATTTTTAGAACAAAAATAAAACTACGCTGTAAGTGATTTTTGTACTTGTTTTGGGAAATATACAACATCCCTTTTTAAGTGCTGAGAAGCCGGCTCCACTTCCTCCAAAGTTTAGAGGAATTAAGCTGCTATGGCTCTGTTTGTCTCATTACCACCACTCACTGCTGCTGGGATTGGTATAGCACTTTGTTTGTGTTCAAAATGAGCTCAAAAGTCACATGAAGGACAGGCTCACAAAGGAGCTGGAGAAGCTAATGTACTCAAGGATGCATGTTCACAACCACAAATGCCCTTCCCTCAGTATACAGACATAATATGAACCAGAAGGACTGTCAAGAGCCTTGCAAACTGAAGTGACACGGCCATTCTTTCCATCTTCGAAGTGTCTGTCACCACTCCACAGTTTGAAGTTTTGCCAAAAAAACTCATTTTGTTATTTCTTTCCTTTTTAGTTCTATCTGCCTAAAAGTTGTTTACAAATAAAGAGGCAGGGAGTGCTGGATGAGCTCCAAAGATCGAGTTCAGCTGTGAGGCACAAATGAAAACAAATGAAGCAACGGTCTGACTTCTGCTAGAAAATGAACAGCTGGGTGAAAACAAGATAAAGAAGTACTAGGGCTCGCAGAGACAGCAAGTGTGATATGTGGAACTGATTTGACTAAAGACCTGTCACAATGAATACTATATTTTAAATCCTTCAATAAATAACAGCTGGAACAACACATTTTTGGACTTTTATTGCAAAGGAGAGATCTTATTGTTATCAGTTTGACCTGTGTCTGCAATGTATTAACTTCAATGTTTCTGTGATGGTTTTAATGTTACTTTCTTGTTATTTTGTCATTGGAATATTAGTTAGTTTCACATAATAATATTTATTGCAACATAGTATCTCTAGTAGTTGATCAACCCAATAATAGACATCATGAATAGCAGAAATCTTCCTCGGATCAGGTCACTTAGAAGTGTCACACGATGTTTCCAAGACCTGTCTGGTCAGCTGATATAAACGTATTTTGGCAAAGTGTTCCGACTTGGAGCAGACGGCTGCACCATCTGGAGTCTGACTGTTTCAGAACATTGTCCCAGATGTGACAAAAATTTTCCAAAACCTGCAACAGGGAAACTATATCATGGGATGGAACAAAGCAATGGACATTGGCACAGAAAGTGCAGTTATTGGATCATTGATGTCTTGAAATTGCAAACAAACAAGAAGAGGCACAACAATATTGCACATTTGGAAGACAATTATAAAGGAATGGGATGCAGATGGTTGTGTCCTGCTCCGGCTCCAAGTAGTACAATGGCGAGTGGTGGGAAATAGCTTGGGAATGTTTGACATGTCATTATCACTAGAAAAGTTACTTTAGCGGACAATATCAAAGTATAAATGCATGCATCATTGTTGTTGATTTATTAATGCCACATCATGGAACACTCATCTGACCCTCGATCAGAAATCTCACGTAATGCAAGCAAAATAACAGGAAATAAGTCAAATATTTCCTCTATATTGACGGTTGAATTCATGGTAAAGAACCAGCATATCATCTTTTATCCTATATATTTGATTTTATAAATTCAACAAACCCATAGAAATTCAAGCTTTTTTTGTGGTTCGGGTATCTTCAGTATTCATGTCAGGCACACACCACCAGCATCACTCCTCTTGTAAATGTACTGTACTCTATTGCCCTTCTCATCACTTCTACCCCCTTTTCTCCTCC